TCTGTTATGATTCTTTTAATTTCAGTTGGGTCTGTTGTGATATCACCCATCTCATTTCTTATATGCGTTATCTGCTTCCTCTCTTGTTTTTATTTTGTCAGTTTGGCCAATGGTTTATCAATTTTGTTGATACTTTCAAAGAACCAGCTCTTCATCTTGTTAACTCTTTCAATTGTTTTTCTATTCTCTATTTCATTTAATTCTGCTCTAATTCTTATTATTTCCTTTCTTTTGGCGCCTGAGGACTTCTTTTGCTGTTCTCTTTCTACTTGTTCCAGTTGTAGGGTTAATGTTTTGATTATGGCCCTTTCTTCTTCTTGGATGTGTGCATTTATTGCTGTAAACTGACCTCTGAGCACAGAGTTGGATGTATTTTCATTCTGTTTTGATTCTATGAATTTCTTTATTCCATCCTTAATTTCTTTTTTAACCCAGTAGTTTTTGAGCATGGTGTTTTTCAGTTTCCATGTGTTTGATTTTTTTTTTTTCCTTGCTTTTTCTGTTGTAGATTTGTACTTTATTGGCTTTATGGTCAGAAAAGATGCTTTGGAATATTTCGATGCTTTGGATTTTGTTAAGGCTTGCTTTATGGCCTGATATGTGGTCTGTTCTGAAGAATGTTCCATGTGCATTGGAAAAGAAAGTACACTTGGCTGCTGTTGGGTGGAGTGTTCCATGTATGTCTATGAGATCAAGTTGGTTGTAGCAATTAGCTCTTGCATGTCTTTGTTGAGCTTCTTTCTGGATGTTCTCTCCTTCACTGAAAGTGGTGTGTTGAAGTCTTCTGCTACTATTGTGGAACTGTCTTTCTGTCTTTTCAGTGCTGTTAGAGTTTGTTTTATGTATTTTGGAGCCATGTGTAAATATTTAGTATAGTTTTGTCCTCCTGGTGTATTGATGCTTTAGTCATTGTATAGTGTCCTTATCCTTTGTGATGCATTTTACTTTAAAGTCTAATTTGTGAGAGATTAATATTGCCACTCCTACTCTTTTTTGAGTAGTGTTCGCTTTATATATTTTTTTCCATCCTTTGAGTTTATTTTGTTTGTGTCTTTAAGTCTAAGGTGTGTCTCTTGTAAGCAGCATATAGACGGATCGTATTTTTTAATCCAATCTGCCACCCTCTGTCTCTTTATTGGTGCATTTAGTCCATTTACATTCAGCATAATTATTGATAGGTATGAGTTTAGTGCTGTCATTTTGATGTCTTTTTTTGTGTGTTGTTGACAGTTTCTTTGCTCCACTTAATTTTCTGTGCTAGGTCGTTTTTATTTATGCATTTTCTTTTCATCTTTTTCATTTTTGTTGATTTTGTGTTTGCTGAGCCTTTATATTTTCTGTATTTTTTTTAATTTTGACTTGTAGTATTGTAAATTTCCTTTGTGGTTATCTTATTTTTCTATTTTTCTAAGTTGATAGCAGTCTTTTATTTCTTTATATTGCCTTGACTTCCTCTCCATATGAAAAACCTATGTCAACATTTTTTTAAGCCCTTTTTTGTTTTATTGTTTTCATCTTTTACATATTGACATGTTTCCCTATTTTCAGTGTTTCAGCTTTGATTTACTTTTGTGACTTCCCTATCTGGGTTCATATCTGGTTGCTCTTCCTGTGTTCTAGTGTGGAATTGTTATCTGATGTTACTGATTTTCTAACCAGAGGACTCCCTTTAGTATTTCTTGTAATTTTGGTTTGGTTTTTGCAAATTCCCTAAACTTCTGTTTATCTGGAAGTGCCCTGATTTCACCGTCATATTTGAGAGATGGTTTTCCTGGATATATAATTCTTGGCCGGCAGTTTTTTTTCCTTCAAGTCTTTATATATGTCATCCCATTGCCTTCTTGCCTGCATGGTTTCTGCTGAGTAGTCCCAGAGTCCCAGCTTATTCTTATTGACTCTCCTGTGTAGATTACTTTTCATTTATCCCTAGCTGCTCTTAAAATTCTCTCTTTATCTTTGGTTTTGGTAAGTTTGATTATAGTATGTCTTGATGACTTTCTTTTGGGATCTGCCTTATGCGGGGTTCAATGAACATCTTGGGTAGATATCTTGTCATCTTTGACGATATCAGGGAAGCTTTCTGCCAACAAATCTTCAACAATTCTCTCTGTGTTTTCTGTGACTCCCCCACCCCCCCTCACCCCACCCCACCCCCGTTCTTGTACTCCAATAACTTGTAGGTTATTCCTCTTGATAGATTCCCACATAGTTCTTAGGGTTTCTTCATTTTTTTTAATCCCTTTGTCTGATTTTTCCTCAAATAA